AATACCAGAGTCCTTGGAGGAGTTACACTCCGCTGTCAAGCAGGCTTTAAATATTACAGATGATATCTGTCTTCAGTATATGGATTCAGATTTTGAAGACTTCTTCACTCTTCATTCCACGAATCAAATTCAACACAGATCCACCATAAAGGTTGTGACAGTCGCACCAATAGTTCTTACTTTGTTTCCACCCAACGAAAGTTTCACTGGCTGTGATATCACAGATCAATCCCTTGATACTACCTCCTCCACACGTACTACCATACAGGACTCCTCTGACACATCAGATTCCTCTGCAAGCACAGTCATCCTGTCTCAGAATAACAGCCCACAAAGGAAACCATGGTCAAAAGAATTCATCATTCCACACTTCTCCGTTGAGACTGAAATGGTTCTTGAAAGAGCCAATTAACTCTACAGAAAAGATGGGACAGTGCTAACTACCCCAAAAGTCAAGTCAGACATACTCGAAAAGCTGGCTCAGTCCATTTACACATACACTGCATATCCATCCACCTTTCAGATTCTTTCCGTTGCTGAAGCACTTATAAAGGCGCACCCATGTCTGAAGGATCGAGGGAGCTTTTCAGGCTTTTATGCATGGCAGACAAGCATTAAATATAAAATGGCTAACTATCGAACGAAACTCAGAGGTTTTGGCATTCCTGAGGTCACATGCAACGCTCTAAAACACAAACATCCAGATGACCGGAAGTCTGCGAAAAATGTTAAAAAGCCAAGAAGAGCTGAAGTCAACTACCTCCCATCTTACCCAGTGGGTGAAGATGAGAAGACTTTGGAAAAAGAACGAGAAGAGCTGGTGTCAGAATTTAAGAAAAACAATGAAAGGATGATAAAGGAGAAGATGAACAAAACATTTGCACATCGTCGACACGAAATCAATAATTAATTAAAACGATTAATCAATGTCAAAGTGTTCAAAACGTAAAGGAACGATGGCCAGCCCTGTTTCAACCTTCTCAAGTGAGTTACCAATCATGTTTAGAGACCAACAGGAACAATGTATCTGAAACCCCCCTCTCAAAACATTATATGAAATTAATTTTTTCTCTCATTCCGTATTTCAGGTGATTGCTGAATTTCAACGAATAACCACTGTGCAGCTGGAAGCTAAATTAATGTCCTCATTGGATCTTCACACTCCCAAGCTGCTGACACTGTTTCGTGGCAAAGGAGGAGCACTTGGAGAAAGACTGAAAACTGCTTGACCACAGGATAGAGAAGCTAACACTGCCATCTGGAATACCAGAGTCCTTGGAGGAGTTACACTCCGCTGTCAAGCAGGCTTTAAATATTACAGATGATATCTGTCTTCAGTATATGGATTCAGATTTTGAAGACTTCTTCACTCTTCATTCCACGAATCAAATTCAACACAGATCCACCATAAAGGTTGTGACAGTCGCACCAATAGTTCTTACTTTGTTTCCACCCAACGAAAGTTTCACTGGCTGTGATATCACAGATCAATCCCTTGATACTACCTCCTCCACACGTACTACCATACAGGACTCCTCTGACACATCAGATTCCTCTGCAAGCACAGTCATCCTGTCTCAGAATAACAGCCCACAAAGGAAACCATGGTCAAAAGAATTCATCATTCCACACTTCTCTGTTGAGACTGAAATGGTTCTTGAAAGAGCCAATTAACTCTACAGATTGTTTTTTTAGGATGAGCAGTGTTCTGTTGATATGACGAGAGGTGGTCATCCGCTGCATTATAGAATTCCTTGGGGAACATGCAGGAGACCTCATCAAAGAATTCAAAGTATGCAATCTCAATTTCAATATACCAGAAGTGTGAATTTATATCAACATTTTTGTTGTTTACTTCCTGAAGAGGCCATAATATTGTTGATCAGATTTTCTGATCAAACAAATGATTGAATTTTAGATCTTCTCTTGTGATCAATATTTCATAGGTTTTGAGTGTCAGTGCTGTTTAATTTTACAGGACAATGAAGACCAGACCGGAATTGAACAGCTTGTGATGGCAGTAATTGTGACCAAGACAGGAGCTTCCAGTGACAGTCCAAAGGACATTGGAATTGTTGTTGAGGGGGCGAAAGTTGTTACAGGCCTTGAAGGTGTTCCCAGGGCTTGCTGTGTCCTCCTTGGTTTGACATATGCACTGAGCCTCCATTATCCCAGGCATCTAAAGTATACCTTTGAGGTACTTCAGAATCTTGTCTTGGAGCTGGATTCTTCAAAGCTGTCAAACAGAGTCCAGTCACTCAGGTCTAAACTGCTGTCTTAAAATAAGATGGTGGTATCTGTTCTGTGGTTCCATGTTGCCAAACAAATACCACATATTTGAACATTTTGTGTCTAGAAAGACAGAAATGCCAAAAAAAAGTTGTTCTGCAAACTTGAACTGTTCTCATCCTATGTGAAAACAAGAACAACACGTTGATAAAGAGTAGTGATGTTCACTCTGTCATTGTGATTGTGACCAAAAAAAGGAGCTTCTACAAGTGACTGTTCATTGGACACCAGAATCAAGTTGACTAGGGGTGAAATTTCTTACTGTCCTTGAAGGTGTTCCCAGGGCTTGATGTGTCCTCTTTTGGCTTGACCTACTTTATGCATTGAATCTCCATAATCCAGGCCTCCAAAAACAATTATCTTGGGCCTTTATGCTTCAAAGCTGTTAAACAGCTTAGTCAAGTCTACACCGCTGATTTAAAAATGACTCAGATTTATTCAATCCAGGTTAACTAAGTCCAGTTGTTCAAATCTACAGTTTTAAAGTGTTATTAATAGTAGTTTCTACAGTGGTTCAATGTTGCTGAAAAATATGTCTTTTTTTTTTTTGTTTGTTTGTGCTAAAACAAGGGGGTTTATTTTAAACAATGTAACTGCATTGTGTATTTTAAACAATTTGTACCTAAAAAGAAACTTTGTTCTGGAGACTTGAATTAATATGGAATTTATATTATATAGAAGGTAATTGTGGATTTAAAAAAAGTTTGTTCTGTTGAGAGACTAGTGAATATTCATTATTAATAGATGCTATTGTGACTGTTGTTGGCAATAAAGCCGAATTTTGTAATTCATCTTTAACGTCTGTGTCTATTATTCATACCTGAAATCATATTAAGTTATTATTAATTTTAATTAAAAATAATACTAAATTTTTGTTAAATCAAATTAATTCCTTTTAGTATTCGTTAAGTGCTCCAATGAAAACTGTTTGTTTAAATTTTACTTAATTTTTTTTGTATGTGCTATTTACATCTACTTAATTTGAATGGTTATTTTTTTAAGCACCTCTTTTGATTACATCTAACTCAATTCTCAATTGTTGTTGAATTTAATTAATAATATTGCTTGTAATGTGTTGCCCCAATTTTATTGAGTAGATGTAGTGTATTATTTCCGCTGATTTAAAAATGAGACTCAGATTTATTCAATCCAGGTTAACTAAGTCCAGTTGTTCAAATCTACAGTTTTAAAGTGTTATTACTAGTAGTTTCTACAGTGGTTCAATGTTGCTGAAAAATATCTTTTTTTTTTGTTTGTTTGTGCTAAAACAAGGGGGTTTATTTTAAACAATGTAACTGCATTGTGTATTTTAAACAATTTGTACCTAAAAAGAAACTTTGTTCTGGAGACTTGAATTAATATGGAATTTATATTATATAGAAGGTAATTGTGGATTTAAAAAAAGTTTGTTCTGTTGAGAGACTAGTGAATATTCATTATTAATAGATGCTATTGTGACTGTTGTTGGCAATAAAGCCGAATTTTGTAATTCATCTTTAACGTCTGTGTCTATTATTCATACCTGAAATCATATTAAGTTATTATTAATTTTAATTAAAAATAATACTAAATTTTTGTTAAATCAAATTAATTCCTTTTAGTATTCGTTAAGTGCTCCAATGAAAACTGTTTGTTTAAATTTTACTTAATTTTTTTTGTATGTGCTATTTACATCTACTTAATTTGAATGGTTATTTTTTTAAGCACCTCTTTTGATTACATCTAACTCAATTCTCAATTGTTGTTGAATTTAATTAATAATATTGCTTGTAATGTGTTGCCCCAATTTTATTGAGTAGATGTAGTGTATTATTTTTTACAGTGTGCCCATAATATACTACACAATTTTCTGCTAAATCCAACTCGGTCAGAGTGGAAATTTGGGTAAAAGTTGTGTAATGTATTCCAAATTCTAGTTTTTGACTTTCATATCTAAACCATGAGCAGATACATTTAGAAAAACGTGATAAGGCTTGATAATATATAAGTATTTTTTATTAATGTAAGTCATAATGTGCATTATTTAATTAGATCTAATCTGTGAGTAGTTTGAGCCATGATATTCAAAGTCTTAATAAAATATTGGCTATAGCTTTGCAATCAATACAAAAGGATGTGGTGATACAATTGTAACCATATAAGTACATTCACACAAAGTCACTTCACTATATGTTCCCCTAAGGCTTATCTCAAAGTGCTCAGAAACATGGACAAAAACTAAACATAACTATTTAAAGTTACAATGCATTTATATTCAAATTCTGGGCAAGTGGTTATTCTTGGTAGACAAGATCAGCATTTAGAGGCATGGCTCCATCTACTGGTTTTTAATCAAGTCTTAGGTTATAGTTAGGGTGAATCAAGCCAAAGCGAAACATCATTATGCGGAATGTCATTGCATTTCATAATTAATTGCCCTGGTATATAGCATGTCTGGAGAATATCAAATGCAACAGTCATTACATGTAATTTTCTACGTGTTTTCGTTTGTCTGAACTCATAATAGATGTGATCAAGCTCCAAGCAATTTAGAAATTGAGTCCCTCTTAAAAATTACTCCGATTAGATCAAATCAAATTAATCTAGATTCAAACTTGCATTAGTAAAGATACTAAAAACCATGAGCCTTTGAAAAACTTTTATTGTACATTTTTCAAAAATATCAATGGATGATCAACTACAAGAAAAGTATATATTGTTGCAAAATTACATAAAGCTTCAGGTCAAAGGGGACATTGGTGTTGGTGTGAAGCAATGCAGAGACGCATATACAACCTGGCTAAAGCAGTCATCTCTCATGCAGGATAAAGTATCATCACCTCCACCTAACACATGCAGTGCAGACTGTTCAGCTGCTAATGTTCAGCCGGATGTGTGGTCATGATAGGGTCACAGTGTACTGCACACAGACATACTCATCACGCTTCAGAAGATCTGTATACTATAAACACAAGAAGACAATTGTTAGTGTAATAGACATGTTTGGGGAAAGTTCAACATTTAGGAGCTGGCTCTTTACAATTTATGAGCTGGAATTTGAATCAAAATGACAATGAATTTTGCAATTTTTAAAAATAGACAATAAAATATTAAAAACTATGTTCTGTTTAAGCCACTTCATATTGTTTAACTCTATCTGGTAAGTTAACTACTAACTATTCTGCTGGAAATGTAGATATGAGTATGAGTAGACTCAGTCTCTCGGTCAAAACCAAGGGCTTGAGGGTTTTAAGGGATCTTCCACAGATTTCGATTATATTGACATTTATCATAATTTGTGTGTGTGTGTTATTAATAACTACACATTTATTCTGTAAATTTATTTTGACATTCATTGGTTTGTAAACGAGATTGTTGCCTGGGACCTTTAAGCTGAAGCTGGTAGAAGATGAGGCAGAAGTCATATCTCAAGTCTAATCGGAGTTCATATATTTATGTGCTGCAGTTTTCTGCTAAATCCAACTTGGTCAAATCCAACTGCTGTCGGGGCAAAGTCATGAAGTGTATTCCAACTTTTTGTTTTTGACTTTATTTAAACCATGACCAAAAAAAAAAAAAAAAAAAAGATTTTAGTATCTTTACTAATGCAAGTTTGAATCTGCATAAGATTAATTTGATTTTATCTAATCTGTGAGTAATTTTTGAGCTATGATATTGAAAATCTATAGTCTAGCATATACAACCTGGCTTAAGCAGTCATCTCTCATGCAGGATAAAGATCATCATCTAACACATGCAGTGCAGACTGTTAAGGTGCTAATGTTCAGCCGGATGTGTGGTCATGAAACACAGTAGTGTTTTTTCGGAGTACTGTGCACAGACATTCATCACCCTTCAGATCTGTATACTGTATACATGGTCAATATAATGAGTTACTGATTTCGATTATATTGACATTTATTATAATGTGTGCATGTTATTAATAACTACTCTTACAGCCCTTATGCCACTCTTAGCACTATAGAATATATTTATGCTGTACATTTTTCTGTCATTCATTGGTCTGTGAATGAGATTTCTGTCTGGGACCTTTAAGCTGAAGCTGTTAGAAGATGAGGCAGAAGTGATATCTCTGATAGTTTAATCAAAGTTAATATAACAATGTATGCTCTGGAAATAAAATATATATATATTGTATTTACATCTCTACATAACCTTGGACCTTGTAACATTTCAATTTCTTTCCATTTTCATTCACTTTTTGAAATGAATTATTCATTCATTTGTTATTAACATTTTAATATGATTTTAATGTACCATGTTTACTGACAAGGCATTCAGTTCAGTTGGGAATGGCACAGCATAAGAGTTAAAAACATACCTGAACCTGCGCTCTCTGTGCGTTCTTTCTTCTTGAATCTAACAATGATAATTAAATAGACAAGTCAGGATCATGCCAAAATGTAAACATCTCAATGGAAAATGACACAATGACTTACTTTTAAATGCATTAATACACAGGATTGAGATGAGCATTACTATAAGAACCAGAATCAGCACACCCGAACAGATGAAGAGATACGGCAGCCACCATGGATATGAACCAGAGCTGCTATCAGCGTTGTCTATTTCTATTGTCACTAAGAAAATAAAAAAATTGTGGAATTTGCAAAAAGGAGAAGCAATGTTAAGCTGGAACAGCAACCAAATATATGTATATATGGTCATTATTTTTTCATGAATTGAATCATATGAAATCTTTTAGAAGAACATGCATGTCAGTGTTTGATTAGATTGAATCTGCTCTTACATTCATATTCCAGGATGTTATCTGTAAAAGTTCAAAAACTGCGTTTTTAAATGGTTTAAAAATCAATTTAAAGGTTCATATAATTACCATATCTTGTTCTGATGGCTTCAACCTTACATAATCTTTTTTGTTAACATGGAAAGAAAAAATCTTTACCTGAGACAGAAACATTTATATGATGGCTATACATAGAGAAGTGTGGTAACGTTAGTTCACATCTGTAAGAGCCTTCATGATGCTTTGATATATTTGTGAAAGTTAAATATGAAGTCAACATATTTGTTTCTATTGTCACTAAGAAAATAAAAAAATTGTGGAATTTGCAAAAAGGAGAAGCAATGTTAAGCTGGAACAGCAACCAAATATATGTATATATGGTCATTATTTTTTCATGAATTGAATCATATGAAATCTTTTAGAAGAACATGCATGTCAGTGTTTGATTAGATTGAATCTGCTCTTACATTCATATTCCAGGATGTTATCTGTAAAAGTTCAAAAACTGCGTTTTTAAATGGTTTAAAAATCAATTTAAAGGTTCATATAATTACCATATCTTGTTCTGATGGCTTCAACCTTACATAATCTTTTTTGTTAACATGGAAAGAAAAAATCTTTACCTGAGACAGAAACATTTATATGATGGCTATACATAGAGAAGTGTGGTAACGTTAGTTCACATCTGTAAGAGCCTTCATGATGCTTTGATATATTTGTGAAAGTTAAATATGAAGTCAACATATTTGGATCAGATGATGAATAGTTCTGTGATGTTGACATTTGATCTGCTCCAGATATTGAAATCCATTCTTTCATGCTTTCTTTAGTCCATGTCACATTGATTGTCTGTTCATCACAATATGTCAGATTGCAGGAGATCTTGAAAGGCTTGTTTATGAAGGCTTTATGGACAGTCCCTCTATGAACTTTCAAGAGAGGACATTTGGGGGCATGACCTAAAATATATAACATTGCAGCAAATGTATGAACACAATGATAACAGTAAACAGTAATGATTTTGAAAATAATAAATAATAATTATGTTTAAATGAGACCATTTCGTTTCGGTTCAGTATAAACTTTTACTAAAATCAAATTAAATAGAAATCAAATTCAATAGAATATAATAAAATCAAATTCAATTGATTATGCCAGAACGAGTGAATGAAAATCACAGCATAAATAGTTGATTTTGTCTTAGACATCATACATGCTATGATCTCACCTTGTGCATCAGTGTTCACATGCAGGATGAAAGCGAGGAACACCGTCGTCTTCCTCAAATATAGCCAATTCATCTTAAATATAAGCGAGGCACACAACAGCTGTTCACACAATATAAATGAATCCAGTCTAATCCTTACAGTCACCATTCAAATCACACAACTGAACACTGTGCTCTTCAGTCTTATAGTTGTGGTTTCTATTTCCTTTACGTAACATGCACTCAGTGTGCGCTTTTGCACATGTAGTGAGCTTCACATGATTTTAGACATGATTGTCTTCGGAATAAATTACATTTGAAAATATATTCAAATAGAAATCAGTTATTTTAAATGAAAATATTTCACAGTATTACTGCTTTTGCTGTATTTTGGATCAAGTAAATGCAAGCTTGGTGAGCAGAAGAGAATTCTTTAAAAAAAAAACATTACAGTTCTTACGGTTCAAAATCTTTTGACTGGTAGTGTACTTGACGCAGTTATATTACATTTGAGGAATACACAAAGCAAAACAAGAATATGTAAGTATTTTATGAGTTGGTGATTTCTTAGGAGACATTAGTCCATCGGATACTTGCCATGTGTGGTCCCAGCCTTGATTTATTTATTACCTTTATTTTAAGATGTCCTTATTAGTGTCACGGGTACACTGCTGAGCGGACTGAGGCGCAAGGAACGGAGAGAGACGAGGAGTACATTAATCCAAATGGGTTTAATCAACACAAGGAACATGGAACACTCACGCTATACATAATGACATGAACAATACCGGACGCTGGAGCACACACAGGGAACCCTATTTATACACACAGGAGGAGGGGATGACGAGACACACCTGGGAGCAATGAAACATCAAGGGAAACACCTGGGACAAATTAAACTTGGGAAAGGAAGGCACATGGAGCAAAACAACCACAAAACACGGAACAGAGTCTGACATAATGCCCCCCTCCGGAAGGCGTGTCCTCACGCCATATAACATCCAATGGGGAGGGGGG